CCCCAAAACCCCAAAACCCCAAAACCCCGTATGAATAACTACACACACAATCAGCTATTGAAACTTTTTAAATAAATTTGAAATTTAGTAATTCATCTAAGTCGTGTCGTGCCTTCAAATTATTGTACTTTATTTAAGATTAATGTAATAACAAAGAATCCACTAAAAATCATTGTTTAAGCCTGCTTAGTATGGTAATACGTTTATTGTTGAGAATCTTGACTCTGAGAATTACTAAGAATTTGTCGATCTTGTAGCAGAAGAGTATCATAAGAACGACCCTATATCATTGATTGTAGGGGCTACTTCATTCGGATATAGAGAATGTATTGAATCTCTTAAAGAGTTCATATTATCCTAAAATATGGGCTTTATTGCAAGATGTAAGACAACTGGAAGACTTATTGGCGCTATCACTGGGGAAGATTACCAAGCAGAATATGATTTCAAAAAAGATAAAGCTTTGCAAGTATATTTTAGAAGATTAGATGAAGGTAAATCAATTCTGTATAGCAAAGGAATTTTGAAAAAAGAATGGAAAATCGTATTAATAACTTGGGGTATCACAAGAAGTACAAACATGTAATAATATATAATGACCATCTTATCTCAAAATATTATGCTAAAAGCAAAGTATTACGGATTTGAATATGGAGTTGCAGAAGTGAATCACTTTGCAAGTTATAGATTATTTTTGAATAATAACTATAAAATTTTGTGTAGCATTGATTTTCATGATAAATACGAGGAAATAAAAGATTAACTTAGTTAAGAATAGAGAGATTATATATGGTAATCTGGTAAATCTGATTATATATTCTTTTGTAAACTTGAACCAGCTATCGCAAAGAGATACGAATCACTTCGTGCAAAACTTTGAAAGCTTATACCAATGTACTAGAGTTACTCATCATGCCAAGACATTTATTCATTAGAGATACTTCCATCTCTATAATAATTTAGACATGATTATAAACAGGATATTTTTTTAATTTCTTATAATACCTCTAAATTATTAAAAATCCTATCAAACGGGGTTTTGGGGTTTTGGGGTTTTGGGG